ATGGTTTTACGCCCTTAGCTAGGCATAAGATTTCAATGATGCTCACATAAAAGATAGTAACTGAAATATGAAGAGAGCATCATGTAGCATATGGCAAACATATTTAAGTCTAACATACTTCCTATGCATAGGCATTTTATACGCAAACAAATTAGCAAGACAAGAAACATCTAGCATATGCAAAGAAGAGGAATAAAACATTGACGATCTCAACATAACGAGAGGTAATTTAGTAACATGAAAATTTCTAAAACCATATTTTCCTCTCTCATAATAATTACATGTAGGATAATAAGCAAATTCAACAATATACCTATCACAAAACATATTCTCAACATGATCCACATGCATGCGAAGTTGACACTCTTCCAAAAAAGTGAGATTAACATATTAAAGTCATGACCTCTCCAAACCCACTTTTATCAAAAATTTCATAAGATTGAACATTCTCCAAAGTAGTGGGATCTAAAGTTGACACGCTTCCAAACCCACTTTCAATATTATTGCACACACTATTATCAATCTCATATTCATCACGGGGCTTAAATAAATTTTGAAGATCATAAGAAGAATCACCCCAATCATGATCGTTGCAATAAGTAGTGGACATAGCAAAATTAGCATACCCAAGCTTGGAGTTTTGCATATTATTAGCATGATTGACATTAATAGGATTTATAGTAAAATCATTGCAATCATGCTTTTCATTCAAAGAGCTATCATGAATCACTTCATAAATTTCTTCATCACAATTTTCAGATTCACGAATCTCAAGCAAAACTTCATAAAGATAATCTAGTGTACTCAAATCACTAGCAATTTGTTCATGATAATTGGATCTCTTAAAAAGATTAGCAAGTGGGTGAGGATCCAGATCAAGAGATATTTAGCAAGCAAAGATGCATGCAAATAGAAGACACATTGCACACAAGCAAAGAAAAGATTTGACGAGAAAACGACGAATGAAAAAAGAGAGGCGAATAAAACGGCAAATTTTTTGTGAAGTGTGGGAGAGGAAAATGAGAGGCAAATAGCGAATAATGTAAATTTCAAGGAGATGAGATTTGTGATTAGGAACCTGGTTATGTTGAAGATCCTCTCCGGCAACGGCGCCAGAAATTCCTTTTGATGTCGCTTGAAGCTACGTTGGCATTTCCCCAAAGAGGAAGGGATGATGCAGCACAGCGGTGGTAGATATTTCCCTCAGAAATGAAACCAATGTTATCAAAATAGTAGGAGAACCAATCAACACAATGTAAACAGCCCCTGTACACAAAGAACAACACCTCGCAACCCGATGTGTTAAAGGGGTTGTCAATCCCTTTCAGGGTACGACGCCTCAAGATAGGCAAAGGACGTGAGGTAAATTTGTAGATGGGATAAATAGATCACGGAACAAATAAATTGCAGCAAGGTATTTTTGTATTTTTTGGTTTAATAGATCTGAAAAAATAAATGCAAGGAAAAAGTAGATCGCGAGGCAAATATATGAGAAAGAAGACCCGAGGGCCGTAGGTTTCACTAGTGGCTTCTCTCGAGAAAAATAGCAAATGGTGGGTGAACAAATTACTGTTGGGCAATTAATAGAACTTCAAATAATCATGACGATATCCAGGCAATGATCATTACATAGGCATCACGTCCAAGATTAGTAGACCGACTCCTGCCTGCATCTACTACTATTACTCCACACATCGACCCTATCCAGCATGCATGTAGTGTATTAAGTTCATGGAAAAACAGAGTAATGCAATAAGAACGATAGCATGATGTAGACAAGATCCATTTATCTATTGCGGCAGATATGGATCCCGTGTTTTTATCCTTAGTAGTAACAATACATACGTGTCAGTTCCCTTTCTGTCACTGGGATCAAGCACTGTAAGATCGAACCCACTACCGGGCACCTCTTCCCATTACAAGATAAATAGATCAAGTTGGCCAAACAAAACCCAAATATGAGAGAAGAAATACAAGGCTATAAGAGATCACGCATATAAGAGATCAAAGAACTCAAATAACTTTCATGGATATAAAAAGATATAACTGATCATAAACTCGAAGTTCACCAGATCCCAACAAACACACCGTCAAAAGACTTACATCATATGGATCTCCAAGAGATCATTGCATTGATAATCAAGAGAGAGAGAGAGAGAGAGAGAGAGAGAGAGGAAGCCATCTAGCTACTAACTACGGACCCGAAGCTTTACAAAGAACTACTCACGCATCATCGGAGAGGCACCAATGGAAGTGGTGAAGCCCTCCGTGATGGTGTCTAGATTGGATCTCGTGGTTCTGGACTCTGTGGCGGCTGGATGAAAATTCCGTCGACTCCCCTAGGGTTTGTGGAATATCGGGTTATTTATAGAGAAAAGAGTCGGTCCAGGGGGCACCCGAGGTGGGCACAACCCACCAGGGCGCGCCTGGACCTCCTGGCGCGCCCTGGTGGGTTGTCCCCTCCTCGGGACCCCCCCTGGGTGCAACCAGTGCCCGTTGTGTTCCTTCTGGCCAATAAAAAATCATCATAAATTGGCATGTCATTTGGACTCCATCTGATATTGAGTTCCTGCGATGTAAAAAACATGCAGAAAATAACAAATGGCACTTGGCACTATGTCAATAGGTTAGTACCAAAAAATAATATAAAATGACTATATAATGATTGCAAAACATCCAAGATTGGTAATTAAACAACATGGAATGATCAAAATTATAGATACGTTGGAGACGTGTCACTGATACACCTAATACGCGTGCTACTGTTAGGCTTTTCCCTAGTAGCGGGAGTCCCCTCTCCATCACCGGCCATCGGAGTACTTCCTATTGTTCTTCGTCTGTTCTCCTCGTGGTAGGTGCTAATGCAGGTATTGGTAGGCATGGCTCCTTTAGAAATTTCAAAGTTGAGCTCGAGCCCATTTGCTCGCAGGTTAGCAGTAAATTCAAAAAAAGTAGCTAACAAATAAAAAAACTGATCTTTTTACACTAAAGATGATAGGATTTATAGGAGCTTGCAAAAAATTGCGTCGTGATTACTTCAGGAGGAGCTCCTTCCAAAAAAATCGTGCTCCAAAAATGTCCAAAGCTGCTTGAGTTTACAAATTCCTAGAAAATTTCATCATCTTTATTGTTATTAAAAACTATTTATATTAAATTTATTGTTCATGCATAAATGCACAAGAGCAGATGAGCTCGGGTGCACAAACGCCGCTCTTCAGCTCTTTTGTGGTTTTTATTTCTTTGTTCCCTCGTTCTTTCTCATGTGAATGTCTTGAACTAGACAGTAGCCTTGATGTTTGTATATGATTAATTGCATTGATAAATATGGCCTGGACTTCCATATGTCTTCCATAGTTGCCTATAAATGATGATTTCACAATAAAAGTGAGCACTAATTCTGCCTTCTCAGACCATTAGCGTTTCCGGTCGTCGGATAGAGACTTCGGAGCGGTTTCGACCGTTTATCAACTCACAATCCACTTGGGCTTCAGTTGATAACCAAAGAATGCTACACGGTCTGGGTCGTTGCTCTTGTAACAAAATGGAAGCTCTGGTGTCATCTGGACTATATGGGCCTCAGGCATGCGAGCGGCAACCAAAGAAAACAATACATAGTTTGTTATGTAAAAGCATTCACAGTGTGTTGTTTTTCCTGCCTCTTAGCCTTCTCTCTACTACTAGAGGTAGCCTCTGTACACTGCAAACTGTAGCTCTGGTCTAAAATTGCTGGCATCACCTCTTAGAGCATCACCACTATATAGAGGCAACCTTGCCTCTAAGGTAGGCCTCATATGATTTGCTTCGTACCACATGAAAAATCCACAATGTATAAAAACTCTAACTTGCCTCTAAGGTGGGCCTTAGCAGAAATTCAAAAAGTATTGATTAGCACCCCATTTGTTCAACCAACCATCTTTATCTTCTACTTTATTATGGTTTTCTAAGGCTGACAAGTGGGACCGAATGGATTCTTGAAATGTTAGAGGCAGCCTCTAAGGTTAGAGGCGACACTAGCCAATTTTTTGTTAGAGGCGGCTCATACAATGTATAGATGCTGCCTCTAATAGGAGAGAGATGGCTATGAGACAGCAAAAACCACACACTGTGGATGCCCTTAGCTTGGAGACAGCCTTCATCGAATAAAATAACTATGTCGTCCCACATGTTAGTTCTTTGGATCAGTTGTGAGAGATGTTTGGCATAATAAATTAGTCTGAGATTTCTTATGTTTTTAGTATGTTGTAGGGTCCATCTAAGAGACAACCACAATCTCTATACACTGCGTACTTTTTCGTGAAATTTGGAGGCACGAATGGGCCCAACATAAAGGCAAGGTTGCCTCTAGACACTGTGGATGCCCTAAGTGGTTGTACTATGGCATATGAGCACTAATCCAGCCTTCTTAGATCATTAGCGTTTTCCGTGGTCGGATGGACTTTGAAGTGTTTTTGGCCGTTTGATCACATGAAATAAACAGAGCATCACATACGATTCACCCTAGTCGAAGAAACAATATCACGAATAGTGGATTCACCACAAGATTTTATTCAACTTAAGAACTTGAGTATCCCACCGATAACAAGACACAAGTAACACTCTTCCGAACAGTTTACAGTCTGAACAATTGATTGAATAAACAGATGGCGTGGTGACAGACACGTGACGATCTCCCGGAGAGGTTGCTCTAGCTACCTTACTATCAGACTAATATAGATACAGGCATGTAATCTGCCATCACTTTGTTTTTTCCAACCGGGCTCACACCCCTTTCCATTAATCTCTTAACGGAAATGACCAGTACATAGCAGTAATCTGACACCAGTCTGCCGTCACTTAACTGACGTCCATCCGTTCAATCTCATTGGAACAGACATCATATGTGATATGATGCTTACCTACAACGAGAAATAAAATCAGCACAATGGTCGACTGGGTGTCCGGGCTTTGCCACCACTTAACATGATAAGTAGCAGTTTATGTAGAAGTTACCTCTTAAATCTCTAGTCAAATTTGCCCGGGATGTGGTATTTGCACATCCTCTTCTGGGCACACTTGATCAGAATATCTGCAGAGTCAATACCTGGCAAAAAGATACGAAGAATACGCATGAGCACAAAATTAGCATTGGCATAAAAATGTTCTATCCCCATGGTGCCAAGTAAGTCATCTGAAACTCAACACTAGGCATAAGACGTCGTCATACATACATACCTGAAAGATAAGCTCCATGGACATAACCATTGTAGTGCTCGCTGGTGTGCTCCCCGGTGAAGTAAACCCTGCCGACCGGTGACTATGTACCACAGGGAAAGATCACAAAAGTGTCAAATGAGCACTGTAGAATGCTGACAGGTTTGGGTTACCACGCACGACGCACCCTGAGCTGGTCGTATTCGTAGCGGTTGACGCCGATGGGCCAGTTGGAGAAGGTGCCCCTGTAGAACCTGTTGGACCACCACCGCGGCACGAGTATGTCCGTCGCGTCGGGGACGTCTTCGCCGGGGAACATGCTCCTCAGCACCTCCACAATCTCCGCCTTGGTCTGGTTGTCCGACTGCTGCTCGATACGCCTCGACTCCTCGTCGGTGACGGTGACCAGGAGAACGTTGGCGTCTGGGTATTGCGCCTCAAACTCCTGAACAGACAACAATTCAAGATCACCGATGAAGTTTGAAGTTGCAAAGTTAAACTGGAGATCAATATCGTTGTAGATTGTGATTACCTGCCACACCCCGTAGTAGCCTCTCCTGCTGCTCGCGTAGAGGAAGAACTCCCTCCCTTTCCCTTCGGGCCAGAACTTGCGGGGGAACTTGACGAAGATCTTGGTGTACACGGCCATGTCGAACTGGTAGATCGAGAGGATCTTCCACGCCTGATACATCAAGAACGAGAAGTTCAGCACCAACCAGCAGATCATCAGTCAATGCCGATGAATAAGCAGGACAGAGACTGACAGGAAGCCGTGGCTTAAACTGTATGAGATCGGACTGCAGGACCCCCACGCTGGTGGAGACCATGACGTAGTCAGCCTTGTACACCTTGTCATCCTCCGTCTTGACGGCGACGCCGCTCCCGGAGTGGGAGATCTCTTTTTTTTTTAGAGAAAAGGCCAAGGCCCGACTTTATACGGATACCACAGGTTCACAGAAAATCATAACCACACAGAGGAGTTTAAGAGAAACCTAAGCAAGCATGATACAGGCAACTGCCATACACAGTGCGCAGGCCGGGGAGGAGAAAGACCAAATGTCCGCAAACGATAGCACCAAATTATACGGCAGGGTTCGTCCCGGATATCTGAGAAGCCGAAGCCCGAATTTTGTTGATGAGCAGGTCCAGGGCGTCCCGATCAGGCTCCTTAGTCAATGATCTCCACTGCTGCAAGAATATACATGATTTGAATAGAACATCAGCAGGTTTAGATGGGAAGGTAAGCTCAATAGTAAATTTGTTTCTAATATTCCATAAGGCCCAGCATAAGGCTCCCAAGCCAACCCAAAATACCCTTTTGGTGACCCCGACCAATGTTTTAGCTAGAGTTCTAATATCAGAAAAAGAGGAGGGATTCCAAGAAACCCGAAGCCAAGATCTGACGCAAGACCAAACTAATTTGGCAAGTACACAGTTGAAAAAGATGTGGTCGGAATTTTCCAAGGCCCCACACAGGTTACAGAATTCAGAGCCCGGCCCATTGCGTTTTTTGATCTGATCAGCAGTAGGGAAGCGACCACGAAAGGCCTGCCAGAGAAAAATCTTAATTTTCGGAGGAACCCTTGATTTCCAGACACAAGAGAATCTAGCCGAGGGGGTACCACCAATGAGTCTAGAATACAACGACTTAACAGAAAATTTACCAGAGGCCGAAAGTGGCCAAAACACCAAGTCAGCCGACTCCGAGAGCACGGGGAAGAGGGCAGAGAGGCTTTGCCAATCTTCCAACTCTTCAGGAGACAGAGCCCGACGGAAAGCCAAATCCCAATATTAGCAGCCAGCTCCGCGATGGAGATCTGCGGATTGGGACAATAAGAAAACAGAATCGGAAAGCTCACGGCAAGTGGGGCATCCCCAGACCACCAATCCAACCAAAAACGAACAGCAGACCCATTCCCCACAGAAAACTTGACATGCTCCAAAAAAATCGGCCTAACTTTAACAAGAGCTTTCCAGAACTGAGAACCACGCCGCGCGGGAGCAAACATAGGATCGGAGTGGGGAAAATATTTGGCCTTAAGAATCGAAAACCACAGCGACCCGGCCCCCACAGTCATAATTTTCCACCACCACTTGATGAGCAAACACATGTTCATCACCCGAGTGTTAATAATGCCTAACCCCCCAAGGTTTTTAGGCCTACACATCAGTTGCCACTTAACCAGCCTATATTTTTTTTTGTTATCAGCTGAATTCCAGTAGAAGCTACCCCTATGTTTGTCGAAGCCAGAATGCACGCCATTCGTGAGAAGATGGAAGCCCATAAGAAACATAGGGAGAGAAGACAGGCAAGAATTGATTAAAGCCACTTTGCCTGCATTGGTATTATATCTACCCCTCCACGGGAGTGGGAGATCTCTCTCACCACCTACAAACAATGCATTATCTCAACGAGTAATAATAACCGAAGGGAAGATGCAATGCAGGTTCGTTGGACGTGGGGTATGTATGTGCCTTGTTGAGCTGGAGGCGGGGGTCGACGATGTCACCGGACTTGTCGGCCTTGAGGTACTGGCCGGCGAGGTGGTGCACGACGGCCTCGTAGCCGCGCTGGTCGGCGACGAAGTAGACGTCGTCCCCGAAGTCCCTGAAGGTGGCGAGAGGGACCACGTTTTGCAGGCTGGTCACCCGCGGCGGCTCCGCGAACTCGTAGTCGTGCTTGAAGTAGTCCAGGATCATGTCCACCGGCGACGCCGGCCCGTTGGGCATGCTGACAGACAAGCACGTCCAAGAGTATGAAAGTTCAGTGCACTAACTGAACAAGCAAGTTCTCGGCCCTCTCTTGCAGGCTCAAAACCCATAGAGACGTACTGGTTGTTGAGGCGTTGCATGGCGAGGATGGACATGTCGTCCTGGCCGCTGGGGCGCAGCTTGGCGGAGAGCTTCGCGCCGCCCTCTTCCACCTCGTCCAACCGGTCGAGTCTCTTCTGCACGTACGCTCTGCCGTAGATGCCGCCCCTGTCAAGTTTACACATACCAACATCACAACATTTCTGACATGAAAAAAAAACATCATAGCTTTTGTCACCACCAATTTTTGCCAACTTGCCAATGGTTGAATCTTGAGGGGAAACTAATTAGTTCCAAACCAAGTGTCCCTCCTTTTATATGTAGTATTTGATCAGCTCAGCTGCTACCATTTTTTTTAAATACGGCTACCACCAATTTCATTGAGACTTGGAAATGTCTGCAAATTACTCAAACAAAGTGGTGGCCTGGTTCGTTTCGAAGTTCAAATTTTCTTAAGAAACAGGGTGCGTGAAACTTAAACCTTGAGAGATTACTAATTTCAACCCACGTTTTCGGGGTTAAAAGGGCCCTTTCAGACTAATTAAATTATACTAGTGCCGTTCAGTTCTGTTTCTTTTTTTCATAAAGCTAGCATCCAACAAGCATATGTTGCCGATACGTTATTTCTCATGCAGGCATGGATAGATCGTCAGTTAGCGCGCGCGTTTTCGTGGTAATTCATTCGACTGATCTGGCGTACGTACTTCTCCTTGTAGACGTTCTCCGCGAGGCCGTCGAAGTCGGAGCGGAAGTTCCTGAGCTTGAGCGTGGAGTTGACGAGGGGCCAGATGGGGTTCATCTTGCCGCCGTTGACGCCCTCCACCCAGTTGGCGCCGATCTCCACGCTGACGCCGCCGAAGTTGTGCTTGCGCATCCTCCCGCCGACGTGGTCCGTCGCCTCCAGGATCACCAGGTCCGTTATCCCGGCCTCCGACAGCCGCTTCCCAGCCGAGATCCCTGCAACCACACGCACAACGTGCAAAGTTACGTGCGCTGGCTAGCTCGCGAGCTAGTTAATCATGTGAATGGTGGTGTGTGCAAAATGTACCGGACATGCCGGCGCCGACGATGATGACCCTGGGGCCGGCGGCGGCGGCGGCAAGGGAGGCATGGTGTGCAAGGGTCAGTGCGAGCACCAGAGCAGTGGCTATGGTGGGCGTCATGTCTCTCCTCGTGGATACAGGCCGACCGAACACACAGTTTCCTCTCCGCCGCTCCGCCTCATAGGCCTGTTTATATACTGCTAGGTCGAGGAGTTGGCAGAGAGTTCGGTCTTCTTCTATGTGCAAGGCACTTGTTTTTCTTGAAGCAAGGCAACATATTTCTATTTTATATTAGTAAGTTTATATAAGAAAAATAGTGATCGGATGGGAGAGTAAGAACTCCCAGTTAATTCATGTAAAATCAGATAATTACCCGCAAAAAAAGTAAAATCAGATAATAACAATTCGGGCATCTTTAGGAGATTCCTTGTAAGTTATGTTTGAGACATGTTTTTCTGTTTTAGGGGATTAAGAGCATCCCTACCAGACCCTGTATAATGCCCCGACCCGCAAAATAACCGTCAAAATACGGGCACGCGTAAAATACTGCCCGGCCAGACCCCACAAACGCGTCGGACCCGCAAAAAAAATTGAGGGGCGCGGTAAAATCCCATCCCAACCCGCGAAACCACAGGTTTTCGCCTCGACCCGACGGTGCCGCGTATCCCAAGAAAGTTGTTGGCGGGAGGGACATTTCAGCCCGCGCCTTTTCCCCACCCCCTTCCGCCGCCACCCGCCATTGGTTTCGCCCATCTGCCGCCAGCGATTTTGGCCAAATCTGCGGGCGGAATCGCGCCGCGGAGGCGCCCCTCCCCTATTCCACCTAGCCGCTTCACGGGCTTCCCAGATCCGCCGATCCGAGCCGCCCCTAGTCGTCGTCGCCGCCCCAGGATCCACCACCCCGAGCCACCGGTGAGTACTTGCGCTTGTGCTTTGGGATGCGGTATGCATAGTTGCTTAATGCGGCGTTCGTATTTGTGAATTTAGATGGAATTGAGCCCCTGCGAGAAGTTTTTGCTCGAGGATTCCTCCGATTCGGACAACTCGGATGTTGAGACGCTGCTAGTCAACTATCGGCAGCAGACGTTGGTGATGGCCCTCGCAGTGAAGGAGCACAAAGACGAGAACCGAAAGAGACGTCGAGGATCGACCGTCGGCCATCTTTGCATTCCTCGAAATCGTCATTTCGGGAATGAGATGTTGATGCAAGACTACTTCATGGACAATCCAACATATCCCCCGCACCTCTTTCGAAGAAGGTACCAAATGCGTCGATCCCTCTTTGTGAAAATAGTGCAAGCTTGCAAGGCCAATTGTCGGTATTTTACTCAAAGACGAAATGCCATGGACTTGAAGGGATTTAGTGCATATCAAAAAATCTCGGCAGCTATGCGGGTAATTGCATACGACATTCCGGCTGACTATGCCGATGAGTACCTTCGCATTGGTGAAGATACTACAATTGAGTCAGTGCGTAGGTTTGCCAAAATGATCATCCGTGTCTTTGGTCCTGAATATCTTCGGGCACCCAACGAGAAAGACACAAAAAAATTGATGGCATCTGGTGAGAGAAGAGGTTGGCCTGGCATGCTAGGAAGCATTGATTCTTTGCGTTGGACTTGGAAAACCTGCCCGAAGGCAAGGCAAAGAATGTATTGTGGCAAGTCTCGTGATGCAACAATTGTGCTAGAGGTCGTATCATCCATCCGAGGATTTATGGATTTGGCGTTGCTTTTTTGATATGCCGGGTACTCTCAATGATATCAATGTGTTATAACAGTCTCATTTATTAGCTAGACTTGCTAGTGGTGATGCTCCTACTTGCAACTACACTATTAATAGGCATGAATACACAAAGAGGTACTATCTTGCGGATGGTATCTACCCTTCTTGGTGCATATTTATCAAGAGCACCCCCAAACAAGGAAACAATGTGAATTTGCAAGGGTACAAGAGGCAGACCGAAAAGACATTGAAAGAGCATTCGGGGTTTTGCAATCTAGGTTGCCATTGTTCGTGGTCCTTCTCGTTTTTTGGGAAAGCGATCCTTGAGAACATCATGACATGTTGTATTATTCTTCATAATATGATTCTCGAAGATGAGAGAGGCATGAACTTGGAGTTCTTCTACAACAATATGGGTAACCGTGTCAAACCAGCTAGAGACCCTAACCGCATTAGAGTTTTCTTCAGACCTACAGGGAGATTGAAAATGCAAACACCCACTTTCAACTTCAGAAGGATCTCATTGAGCACCATTGGCAGAGGGCTGGGCAGTAACACATTCCATTCATTTCATTTAATTCATGTGTGATTTGTATTCGAGACAAGTTTTGTATTGAATTATTTAGTTTGCTTCGGTGATTTGAATAATTATTGTAATTTGGATGATTGTTTTATTGTACTATTGACATCTTTTCTTATATTAAATTAGTAATTCTGAATATGAAGCATATATGTCAAATTCAGATAAAAACGCATATGATATGCGGGCCGGCGCGCCACTGGTAGAGCAGATACCGCATAGCGGAACTGTAAAACGGAATATCTGTGAATGATCCGTTCTACAGTTCTGCTATGCGGGGTCTGCTCGGCTGACGCCCATGCTGACTCGTAAAACCGTTTTTCTGCGAACTGTAAACGAGTTTTGCGGCTAAGAGTTAAGACCCATCTAGCATCTTTGTTAAAAATGTAGATGCTGGTCACCAGCACTTTGGGTGATGCAGTTGGCACATGGTCTTGTCGATTGCTTGTTCTTCCCTGTCGACGGAAAGTCCCGAGTCTGCTCCTCCCATTACTGCCTCAGATTCTTCTCTTCAATGGTGGTGGAAGGCCGACTTGTTTGGTGGAACAGGTTTTCCATAGTTTGTGTGTGAGAGTTTGACATCTTTCTGTTGAGCTCGACGTGCCATCAGTGTGAGTGGGCTTTGCCCTATTGTTTGATTTTTTCACAGTTTTTCGCACTTAAACAAGCAACAATTTTCTTCTTAATTAACAAAAGGCAAAACTTTTGCCTCGGTTTCAAAAAAAAAGCTCCCCACCCCTTACAAGTTCTCTCTAGCCTATCTTTAATATAACACGGGAGGCAGGGCCGGGCCCGTAAAATCCGGGGGCCTGTGTCAAATTCTAAAATGAGGCCTGCCCCACTACTTAAAAAAATAAAGCTATAATAAACCCTATAATAAATTCATGTATTCTTTGTTTCTTCTTATGCTTTTGGTAACCAGATTATTATAATAGACTAATTTGTAAAAGACATGACTTGGATCTTTGAGCACCTGATGTCTAGACCAATTGATGATACACAGATGTACGAAAGCTGAAAAGAAGAAAAATTAAATGATACACATCAAATATTTAGCAAGTTAGCAATAAGCTATTGGCAGAACTGCTGAATAGATTGATAGGGCCTCACAGTACAAATTTAATTATTATGATTGAAATTTGCATACATTAGTACTCCCTCTAGTTCTTTTTTGTCCGAAATTAAAGTATCTTTATTTTGACCAAACTTACAGAAAAAATTATCAACATTCACAATGCCAAATCAATACTGTTAGATTAATTATGAAGTGTAGTTTCATTGTATGTATATTTGGTATTGCAGATGTTGATATTTTTTAATATAAATTTGGTCAAAGTTTATAAAGTTTGACTTGACATAAATCTAATACGCGCAGTAAAAAGGACCGGAGGGAGTAAAACATACCTGAACGCTAATTGTACTACTTATCAAAACTGCGAGGATTAAAGGAAAAGTGGTAACGAGGTAGCACCTGTCATGAATGGTGAAATGCCCTTGATTGGTGATTTAAAGGTTGATGATTTGCGCGGCGCCGGTACACGGCCGTGTGTTTGCCCTTCTCATCACTTGCTGGCTGTTGCACTGCTGCGGTGCTTTCCTGCCGGCGTCGGCTTCGGTCGGGCGGCTGGCGGCCGCCGGCTCTCTTCTTCGCTAGGGCTGTACTGTAGATCCGGATTTCTGCGACCTGTGAACGATTGGTATTCTCTCTCTGGCCAGCGAGTTAACGATCTTACCTGCGAGCCCGGAGACGCTAACCTTTTTTTTTTGGAAAACACCGGGAGACGCTAACTTGGCTGGACAGTTAGGTATAAGGGCATGTACCATGGTCAATATGATAGTTTTATCTTAAATCTTGTATGTAATTTAGTGATGACAAAAAAACATGTTTACAATGGATCATCTGTTAGCCTTATTTTTAATAACTAGTTATTCATAAAAACATGGTGAAAAATATTGTGCTAAGAGATCATCTCTTACCTTCTCTTATGATTTCTCTCTCCTCCACTTCATCATTTATTCTACGTGGCATTGTTAAGATAAAACCATTGTACATGCCCTAAAGGGTCATTGTCTTAGAAAACGCCAGAGAAAGGCTAGCTGGCCCGCATCGTTTCCTCTGACGCGACCCGGGGGAAACCCTAACCGCCACGGCCGCACCCTCTCCCCCTCCTTCCCCTCCGCTACCGCCAGAGGTGTGCGCCGATGTGCGCTCGACACCGATGAAGGTGGCGGCGAGGGATCTGGCGGCTCCACGTAGCATGGAGGGCCTTGGCATCCAGGGCGGCGGCCCCAGGCGGACAGCGCGGGGTAGCCCTGGCGGCGGGCCATTCCTGCTGGAGCTTGTGAGGCGTCTCCCTCGGTCTCGAGGGTGACGAGGAGGTCTCGGTCCCTGGTCACTGGTGTGCAGCCTTCCCCGCACGGTTGCCGCCGACAGATGCAACCCACCCTTTC